ATATAATGGAACACATATAATACACTCCAATATAAAGCACATGAAGTATCTAAATGGAGTACTATAATACTCTTCACATAATTTTAATGCAAACTTATCTTCATCTAAATTTACATTTTAATTAAGATCAAAGTGCCCAGTTTGTCTGTGCTAAATTTTATTTGGTGATCTCTTAGCAATTTGGAATTTTACCAAGAAAATGACTAAAACATCCATATCCTTTCACCCAGAGGTCCCATTAATAGCTATAAACTCCAAAAAAGGTTAATGATAAAAAGAAAAGCCCCATGACCAAAATATTTATAGCAGCACTTTTTGTAGCAGCAAAGAGTTGGAAGCAAAGAAGATGCCCAATGATTGGGGAACGGTTAAATAAGTTGTAAAAAATATAAGAAAATCTTTCTTCCCCTTCTTTGCAGGAGTGGAAGAGACAATATCGTCAAGATTTTTTTCTTAAAGTACATGTTAGTGCTGGTTAGTTTTGGTGAACTTTTTCCCTCTTTTTTTGTTCTTTGTTAATAAGAATCATTCTCCGAGAAAGGCAGCTAGAGGGAAATACATTGGGAAATATAAATGATGGTATCAATAAGGTAAGATATCAATAAAATTATTTTAAAAATAAATCACAATAGCCAAATGTAGAGGAAAAAAAGTAAAATTTACACACAAACAAGTAAAAATAATCTATCTTGTTTCCTGCATATGAGTCATGTATCACCAGTTAGACTATAAGCTCCTTGAGGGTAGGGGCAGGGGTTTTGTTTTCTATTCCTTTGCTATCCCTGAGTAACATGGAATAGGCAGCATAATATGGCTGAAGAATACTGAATCTGGAGCTAGATGACCTGCCAAGAAGCCTTACTTCGGAGCTGGGTAATCCTTTACATGTTATGTCTAGACCTTAGTTTCCTCTTCTACAGGAATGAGAGGTTTGTACCAATTGGTGGATAAAGTTTATTTGAACTCTAAAATCCTTCATTCCTAGTATAATGCTTTTCAAATAGCAGAAACTCAAATGGATTTTGACAGACCAAAAATGGTTAAGATCTTAAGACCAAGGCATATAGAGTTATTTCTCTTCATAAACATAAAAGGGCCAAAAGAATTTAACCTCTCAAAAGACTTAATCTACAGCTCTTAAGGGACTTTAGTTTCTCTCACATGGAGGTTTGGTCCTTTACAACCTGGATGATTTGAAATAAAAATGTTTCACTGGACAGATACTAAATTTGGGACAAAAACTGCAGAACTACACATAAAGACAGAATAAGGTATTATTTAAAAATACACACATATGTATCTATATCATTAACCTTGCTGGAGTTTATATAGCATAGTATATACTATAGTACCTTGTATAGTACCTGGTACATAGTAGCTGCTTAGTAAATGCGTGTGTGTGTGTGTGTGTGTGTGTGTGTTCATACATTTTTTACAAAAGTAAAATGTGTTTTCAGGTAACTTTTCAGGATGTATTTTTGGGTAACTTTTCCCTGCATCAAGGACATCAATCAATCAATCAATGAGCATTTATTGAGCACCTACTAAATAACAGCCATTACACTAGGCATGTCTCCAACAAAGTTAATGATAAAAAGAAAGGCTCCATATAGACCAAAACATTTATAGAAGCAAAGAAGATGCCCAGTGGAATACAAAAGGGGAAACCATGTACACATATAAGTATATAAAAACAACGTACAAAATACAACAGATAGCAAGATAATTTTGTGAGGACAAGACTAGCAGTTTTGACTGGGAAGGGTGGAAATAATAATAATAGATAGCATTTATATAGCACTTTAATGTTTACAAAGCACTTTTACAAATTTCCATTATACAGATGAGAAAACGGAGGCAGATAGAACCTTTCTCTCCATTAGCTTGACTCCCTTTACATGATGAGGAAGAAAAGGAGACCTAGGCAAACCTATGTTCTACCATGCTTCTTGAAACATGATTCGGAAGGGGGGAAAAGTAACAGTATTGAATGATTGATTAGTATTGTAAGAAATAAATCCACTTCTCCCTCCGTCTTTCTTTACAGGAGTGGGAAAAGACTATAATACCAAGTTGTTGTTGTTGTTGTTTTTTAAGTATATGTTAGTGCTGGTTAGTTTTGGTGAATTACTTTTTCCTTGTTTTTTTTTAATTCTTTGTTAATAAGAATCATTCTTTGAGAGGGGGCAGCTAGAGGGAAATACATTGGGAAATACAAATGATGGTATCAATAAGGTAAGATATCAATAAAATTATTTTTAAAAATAAATCGAAATAGCCAAATGTAGGGAATAAAAGTAAAGTTTACACACAAACAAGTAAAAATAATCTATCTTGTTTCCTGTATATGAATTATATATCACCAGTTAGACTATAAGCTCCAGGTCCAAATTTTATAGAACAAATCCTGTTATTAAGGGAAATTGTTCTGTATAGTTTGGATTCAGTCAAAGGGCCACACTTGAGGACCTAGATGACCACATGTGGCATCAAGGCCATGGGTTCCCGACCCCTGGTTTAGACTATGGAGGTTTACTTACCAGCCTCTTTCTGAGAGCATTGAATCAGCTGAAAGGTATCTGCTTGAGCTACAAGGTATTCTGGAAGGTAGGCTGTTGATATTCCGGGGTTGAGTGGGAGGTAAGGTGAAATTTCCCAGAGGCACCTGTGCAGCTATTAGAGCTGGTGCCCAGGCTGAGGTTAGGTTATTACCACCCTAAAGGGCCTATGCCAGGTAAAAAGAGGGCAGATTGAAAACTTGTAGAGCTTTGGAGGGAGCAGAATGGGGGGAAATTGGGCAGCTAATAGGTGAAGAAGGTAGTGATTCAGTGTTGGCAACAAGACTCAGGATGGTTCATCTCCCCACCCTTAATTGATTGATTACTTATCCCTTGGGGTCACGCTACAGTTCACAGGAAGCTGTCCTCCCCCACCTCCTTACTTTTGGAGACCACTGATCTAGGATAATAGGAATCCTGTTGAGTTGTTTTGAATGCCCTCAGTACACCATGGGTGCTTTTTAGCTCTTAAACAGTAAAAACAATAGCACTAAGAAATAAGTCCTATAGTAAATGTAAGAAGAACTGGCTCTCCAAACTGCACTAGATTTAATGTATTATCTTACAGTAGACGCCAAAGTGGGATTGCTATTTACTGTAGACAAAAGACCAGCAGACAAAAGATATGACCTATAAACAGTGAAGGAAAACACGAATGAAACAATAAAGGCTTCATTACCCAGAATGCTCTGAGATAGAGCTTCCACTATATAGAAGTGGAAAGTGATATCATTATTGATTACAGGCATTGGCTAATATTAGAAGTCAGGCAGCAACCCAGGTAAGTGAATAAAATGTGGTTTTTCAAGGCTTATGTTGGAACCTGGGAAGAGAAATCCATTTTATTTTTCTTCCTTTGGTATTAATATGTGATCTTCCTCAAGAGAGCGGTAAGTTTTAACCTCTGAGGATTTTTATTCAATCTGAGTTGACTTCATTGGTAAATGATTTTCTAGGCTTTTTTTTTAAAGGCGATTAAAAAACCCAAGTGTTAGAATAGACTCAGATTTATAAACTTTTTTTTTTTACCCAGAAGGAAACTTAGGGATTACCTAACTCAGCCTTCCCTCCCCATTTTGCAGATAAGGAAACTGAGGCCCCTAGAAGTTAAGTGAAGTAACTTAAGGTTATGTAGCTAGTTAGTGGCAAGACCAGAATCAAATTCCAGCTCTCCAAGGCCTAGTCCACCTTTCTCTCCATTAGCTTGACTCCTTTTACATGATGAGGAAGAAAAGGAGACCTAGGCAAACCTATATCCCACCATACTTCTTGAAACATGATTTGGAAGGGGAAAAAAGTAACAGTATTGAATGATTAGTTAACATTGTAATAAATAAATCCACTCCTCCCACCCCGTCCATCCTTCTTCAAAGCTTAGTCGGTATGCTCTCCCCACTTGCTAGAGCCTTACCACAGCAACAACAAAATATCTTTTGTTCATTTTCTATGTACTGATACACATATATGTTGCTTCTGTTGATAGAATCTAGGCTCCTTGAGGGCAGGGATTATCTCATTTTTACTTTTGTGTCCTCAGCACTGAGCTAGGCATGTAGGAGGTGCTTAATATATGCTCTTTGATCATATGAATTTCCTTAACTCTACAAAATGTTGTAGAATTTTAGTTTAATAGAGTTTGGTTGATAGAGTTTACATTACTTTAATATGTTTATGAGAAGTTAATAGAATTTAGTTAATAGAGTTTAAATTACTTTAATATGTTTAATAGAGGTTAGTTAATAGAGTTTAAATTACTTTATTTGGCACCATGTGGAGAGACCCATATGTGTATATGTACGTATACATATGTTAGTTTGAGCATTAGAATGAAACTTTGGATATGAGGGGAGAATTTGTTGTGGGTTTTTTGTTGTTGTTACTGTTGCTAAAATGGTCAGCCTGTTTTTTTTTTCCTGCCTCATCTGGTTTAGCCACAAGAGGGAACCAATAAACAAAAATTACCAGGTTTTGATATGGTTGGGTTTTTTTTTAAGCATTAACAAAAAATAAATAGGTGCCAATTCCCTAGATTCTTTTTCCACAAGTCTTTTGTTCTTTCTCTAAAGCTTTCAATCATTGTTTGCAGAGAAGTTTTAGACAATCCAGCTGTTCCTCACAGTCACCAAAATGGAAGACACTTTGGCTCAGGCTACCTTGCCCCAGGATGGATGATGTATTAGTTACCCTAAAGAGAAGCACATTCATTATTCATCCTTGGAGGCTGCCACACAACCTGGAGAAACCTGATCTTATCTTTTCTTCTAGAGTGCTCTCAAGCAGACTTTCCTTAAAAGGGTTCTGTAGCAGGTATAAACCTGTCCTTCCTCCAAGTGCCACCCACAAGGAAAATGTCCCAGCTGCTGGAAGTTTAGTTTAAGGGTACTTTTCTTTTCTTTCCTCTAAGAGGTTCATGCAACAGAAACAAGTGGCTAGGTTTCTTACCTGATTTGGGTATGTCTGGGACAGCTATCCTTATTTCCAATAAATTCAGAGGCTTCTCCAGGTAGAAGGCAGAAAGGAATTTTTATTACCATCTTGCGAGAAAGGGCGACCCACACTGAAAAACCTCTCAGTGTCAGGGCGCGCTGAACGTAGATACAGCAGGTTTTTATAAGGCCCTCCCCAACAGTTCATCTCCCCACCCCCCAAGCCTTGAAGGTAAATCTTCCCAGAGACAGTGACAAACAAACAGATGCGGTTATCTTGAAATGTTCGAATTCTGCAAATCCCTGCAAAATTCCTGTTCCCCCCCCCCCAGGGTCCCCTGCAGACTCGATACAACCATTTGTTCACACAGTTGGGCAAAAGGCCTGTATTTTGAGTTTAGATTTTATGAGGGGTTTTCACCACATTCCATTCAGGTATGACTTCAAAGCTGAGTCTATTAGTTGGGTTTTAGAAGGAACAGGGTTTTCTGGTTTTGTTTTTCAGCCCAGGCCCAGAAGAACCAATAGGGAAAAGTATCCAATGCCAGTACTGAAGATTGGTCATTAGTTGTTTCTGCTGCTCATGTAGATTTTGACTGGACAGATCCAGGACACTCATATTCTTTACCTATGGGTGGATGATCGATTACAGGATGAGGTGGGAGAGAAGGGCAGAGCATTTTGGGAACTTAGACATTTCTAGACCCTGAAACTTGGAGTGGTTAAATACCTCTACAACCCTGCTAATAATCTTCCCCACTTCCTCCCCCCTTCTCTCTAGGTTGGTTTCATCTAATCATTCCACATATTTTAGAATATTACACAACCACACTCCTTCACTTAATGCTTGCAGCTCTTAAGAAATTCTTTCAAAGACCTTGTCTTGATGCTCCAGGACATTTTCTCTTGTTTCGAAAATTCCACTTTCTGTAGAAAACCCTTCCTTCTCTCCTGCCCCCACAACCATTAGCACTCCTTCATTATGTTTATCTGCCCTCTTCTCTGAAGATATTTGCATAGATTCCCAATTATTTACATGTTATCTACCCCATTTGAATTTGAGCTCCTTGAGGACTGGGGTTGTTTTTGCCTTTCTTTGTATTTCTCCATGTGTTATACCGAGAAATGAGCGAGTTGACGATCCAAGCTAATTTTAAATTGTGGACTTTATTAGCTATTAGCGCTCGGCTGCCAGGGATATTCACATCCAAATCAAGCAGCCCCCATCAGGGGTTGAGCTAGGGTTTATATAGGGAGTATACAGGACAGGGAGGGGGATGGATCTTTGAAGTCTGGCAAGAGGAAGAGGTTTTTTTGGGGGCTGGTCAAGGACACCCTTCTCCCTCTGTGTAGATATGATAATGCTGTGCAAACTTTCTCACAATGGAGGCTTCCAGAGATATGATCTGAGGGCTGTGGCCTGAGCAGCCAGATAAGGGTCTTGCTAAGGAATCTAGAGGTTTCCAGAGATATGATCTGAGGGCTGGAGCCTGAGCAGCCAGATAAGGGTCTTGCTAAGGAATTTGGAGTTTTCCATGGCCTAAAGGGTTCTACTACCTAAATGGTAAAATAATGTTCTGCATTACACATGCTTTCAACACTGTGCTTGGCACATAGTTGTTGCTTAATCAATGTTTGTTGATTTACTGTCGGAATGAAGAGCAGCTAGCTGGTCACTGACCCCGTCTTCATAGCCTTGAAAAAGCATTGCCATCCCGGATCCTCCAAATCCAATAATCCCTGTACAACTGAGCTTACTATTTGCTGTTCCTCCTCACCCACCTTCTTTAAGAACCAACAGGTCAGCAGTTTATCCAAAGCTGGATTTTACCTGGACAGGTATTGAAATACCCTTCAATATTTTCCGTTCCCATTGCTTCCCTAACCCTGCTTTTATTCTCACCACCTGGAATGCTTGGCAAAGAGGGGCTTTACTAGACATGAAGAGGGGAGTATCTGCTGAGCAGATGTGCAGTATCCATCCCCCTGTTGTGAATGAAGCACAGTCCCATCCCCCAGCCACTAGTCCCTTCTTCATTAAGATTTCTTCTCAACTTCTCTGTAAGGTTCTAGTGTGTAGTAGCTACTTGTGGTCATATTGTTTCCCCAATTAAAATGTAAGTTTCTAGAAATCGAGGACTGGTTTTCCTTTTACTTTGTAGCCACAGTACATAGTACTGTCCAAGGCACATAGTAAGTCCTTAAATCCTTTTGGAGGGATTCATTAGTCATGGAAAAATGAGAGATAAAAACAGGGGAGATTTCTTTAAACTTTAAGGTTTGCCAAGTACTTTTAGATATCATCTCATTAGATCCTTTCAACAGCCCTACAAAGTGGGTACTCCAGGTCTTGTAGAAGAAAGAAGCAAGCAAGGCTCAGAGAGATGAAGTTAAATGGCTTGCTCATGGTCACACCTTTCAGTGTTAGAGGCAAGATTAGAAACTGAGTCCTAGATTCCAAGTCCAGTGTTCTGCCTACTTTAACACGTAGTGGTGGAGGGGAGAAAGACAAGTATTACAGAAATGGAGAAAGGAAACAAGAAAATAAAGTAAGAAAGAAAGCAGATGAAAAAGGCTAGCAATGCCACTCTCTCAAAGTCGATACTAATGGGGGGTGCTGTGGGACAGGCTTTCAATCTCTACTTTCCTGTTGCAAAACATTCTCTAGGGACTAGACAATGAAGAGTGGGCTTAGCTATAGACTCACTTGGGCTTCAGATTCAACCCTAGAACTTAGAGTAGAATCCACCTTTAATAGTTTAAGACAAATATTATATTAATGTTAAGAAAAATTGTCCTGGAATGTTTAAAACTCACACTAATCAGTTCAATTCATCACATGAATGTTTAAGACATACTAATCACTTCAGTTCATTGTGTTATAATCATGGAAACAGGATTTGAAACTGGAAGAGACCTTCAAGGTCAAGTTCTTCATTTTATAGAAAATTGAGGCTGAGAGAGGGGAAATGATTTGGGCTTGATGAGTGGTATGACATTGCTGAATTGCCCCCACCATGACATTTGCTTTGAGTGATTTTTGAAGGAGGGATGATGAATTTTTACTGACTTCTCCTCTCTCTTCTCTTCTTTCTCATCTTATATCACCGATGTTTGTGATTTATTTCTCCCCTTCCTGTCCCCACCCCCAATTAGATTGAAAGCTCCTTTCGAAGCCTCCATCAAAGAAGCTGGATCAAAGCTGATTTTGTATTTGTAATGCTTAGCAAATAATAGATAATTAATGTGGATGCTTTCTCTCACCTGGTCTCCCTTGTAATCAAGAGTATATGCTCAAAAGGAAGTAATAGTTGATTAAGCTTAGGGATTCTGTCTCATGCCCATGAAACAGAGCAAAACTACTGATTCATTCAAATAGAAAACTAAGATGCTGGCCTTGCAAAGTGTTCTAACCAGTTAGGACAGATGTTTTGGTGCTGAATAGTTCATTAAACTGCTGATCAACCAAACTGATCTAAAAGGGTTGAGACCTAATGGGGGCAATGCATGTATGCAGTCATACATGAACTTTTAGCCTGATTAATTGCCTTCACATATCACCTCAGATTACTAGGAAAATGTGATCCTACTGTTGGCCTTATTGACTTTGTACCAATGAAAAGCAGTGGTTCCATATACCCTGTAAACTCCTCTGACTGGATTTTGCTGGTTGAAGGAACTCCCAGGTGAGGAAATTCCCTTTATCAATATAGGCCAGTCAGTACCTTCTCTGAAACTTCTAATCTTAGAGAATCTCCTACACCTAGTCTCAGAGAATCCAACCTTAGAGAATTTTGGAGAATTACAGCACTGAGAAGTTAAATGAGTTGCCTGAGGTCAGAGGTGAGACCTGGCTCATCTTTAAGAAGCTTTTTATGTCACGCTACCTCCTGTGTTTATTCTTTAAAAAAAAATTGTTTGGCCTCTCACATCAACCTCTTGACCAAAAACTAGATCAGGGAAAAAGTGTCTGAAAAAATACATTGGTTATCTTTTCCACATTGCAACTTTCCCTCATTGAGGTTTTGATACATCAAGGGTCACCCAAAAAATTAAGTGGGAATTTTGGGAGAGTTTTGTAGAAGCTGCAGAAGACACAGAAAAAGTTTAGAAACTCAAAAATGCATAAAATATATGTATAGTATTGTATACTATCAACATATTTTATCCTTTAATGTCATAATAATTCAGACTTCTTTTCTGGCATAAAGGGAGAGCCAAAACATTTACTTGGATTTTCTAGATCAAGGGGCACTGAGCCTTAACTGCTGTGATGTGGAAGGGATAACCATACTGTCAAGGGAAAGGCCAATTTGATTTTAGTCAGTTCGTTTTAGTGCCTGAAAAATAGAAGGTATGTGGGAATAAATTGAGGGCAGGGACTTTTATATTGCTGTCTCCAGCAGCAGTAGGAACTGAAAGGTTTGTTGATTGATATATCCTTCAGGAAACTCAGGAAGGGCTGTTAAAAGGTTTATTAAATGGGAACTGTGAACTATAAGGAAAGATTTTTGTTTGCTTTTTTTTGTGGATTGTAGGTTTAGAAGTAGAGGAAAAGGCAAAGAAGCTTTGAAAGTAGTTACAAATTAAAGGAGCTGACTCAGGGAGTAGAAAAGAGGGAAGAAACTCCCTCCTGACTATAACCCCGTCTAATATAACTAAGATTAGAAATCAGCAATTTGGGCAGCTTTCCAGACTGCATTGTGAAATGGGGTGCAACAAGGGACCTTTCTTAATACAGGGTGTCCCCGAAGCCTTTTTAAAGCTTAAAACCACACTAAGACTTTTGGGATACTCTGATTTACTTTTTTAAAGCTGGATATATTTTTAACACTAGAAAAATCCACAATTTCATTCTGTAATGGTATGTAGATTTTGTAGTGTCTATTTGTCTGTATTATAGTTGGAAGCCCAACATCTCTGGTAGATCGTGATACCTAGGAAATACAGTTTTCAAAAATGGGGTACTGCTAGAATTTTCTAAAGGCCTAGGACTCATAGATGCCTTGTTCAGGCTCTGGAGCATGGTTGCCAATCCAGTCACCAGAATTCAGTTTTCTGCTCTCCTCCTTCAGTGCTTCTGCAAAAATTTCCAGAAAGAATGTGGCTGTGGACCTGGTATACCTGAAATTTCCACTAACCCTCCAAGTAACCTTGAAAATTCTCTCATAGTCTGCCTTTGGTACACATGTAAAATGTTGCTAAGGAAACCCTTGTATTAAGAAAAACAATAAAAATTTTCCCCTAAGATTAGAGTTGCTGTATCTGATTTTGGAGAACATGGGACATTGATATGACCTCGTGTGGCTAAATGAGCGAAGGAATTGTGTGCTACAAATAGTTATTTGGCAATGTCTAGGTTTATTATGTGACTTGACATAGTTGAAAATCAGTCAACAACAATGTAAATGGAAAGAACAATAACCACAAAATAATTAAAAGTGAATGTTGCAAAATTACAGAGAATAAGCATGGTCCCAAAGAGGAGATATGAGAAGACAATGCCTTTAACTCCTTTGCAGAGATGAGAGGTCCATGGTTATGAAACATTATGTAAATGGATGCCTGGGGTCAGGAAGACTAGAGTTCAAATACAGCCTTACATACTTGCTAGTGGTGTGATACTGGACAAGTCACTTAACTTCTGTCTGCCTCAGTTTTCCCAATTGTAAATGTAATAATAATAATAATAATAATAATAATAAAAAAATAAAAAGCACCTTCCTCTCAGGGTTGTTTAGTGAGAATCAAATGAAATAATATTTGCAAAACGCTTAGCACAGTGCCTGCCACATAGTAGGAATTTAATAAATACTTATTTCCTTCCTTGTGATATGAGATGGGTCTCTGGGAGGGGACAGAAGAAGGCATACAGGTGAAAATTTAGGTGATCTAAAAACAAAGGCCAATACATTTTTTTTAAAAGAAAGCAATTGGTCAAACATCTATTCATGCGTATGTGTAAGAGATATCTAGCGATCTTAGACAATAAGTGATTCTTGTCTCTGACCTTCTATGAATCATCACCAAAGAACTTTACTCAATATGTTACCAGCCTTCCTTTCAGTCTTTTAATGTTTCATGGATGCCAGTGAACATTCTATCTGTTCTCCCTCATTGGTGCTCTGTGAGTAGCCCACTTCCTTTTATAGTCTGATGTGTCCTTGATCATACCTTTTAGGCCACTTCTTGCCCTCAAGTCATCAACTTCTTCTAACATACTTAGATTCACCATATAATTCTTCATTACTCTTTATGTCACTTGTGATTTTGATTATTTGGAGAATGGGGTGTCCCATGATTTATAGTCATAGAGAACTGCTGAGAGGGTACTGGTGGTGAAAAGAATTGTCTTTGACAACAGGGGTGTAGCTTGTGATCATTGAAAGTGCTCAGCAGTTTCCCAAATATAATCTTTTTTTTTCCAATTGGCATCATTACTTTGCAAATGTTAATGGTACCTAAAAATACCAGACCACTTGTATACCACACCAAGGAAGGTCCCTTCATTTGCTGCTGCTGAGTGTGTGTGTGTTTGTGTCTTTGTATATAGACACATACATATGCAGGAGTGATGGTGTAATGGCAATTGACCACCTGGTCAGTCATGAGCTTTACTGTGCCAGTCTGTCATAGTTACTGATAATAGTTCCTTTCTTTCCCTTAATCCTACATCCCTTCCCTAGGGCTACTTGATGACTAATTCCTGCTTACATGTTAGCTAGTTAGGGTAGATCTTAAGGGAATCCAGGTCTCAAAGGTATTTTAATTGAAGACCTCTCCTTTTCAGCCTCAAACAATCACTAATTGCAGAACTTCAAGCTCTAGGAAAAACTGTCAAGAGGTTTTTTTTTTTTGAGGGGAGGAAGGTAGTAACCTATTGTACCCCTCAAATAACTCTAAGAAAGTACCTCTGGGCACACATTTTAGGAAGGGACATGGTTAAGCTAGGGAAAAAGGGAGGAAGGAACCCTGTATAATTAAAAGCTATGACATATTGGGCTTATTGGAAGGAGCTGGGGACATGCAACCTACAGAAGTTTCAGGAAGAAATGATAGATGTCTTCAAGTATTTGAAGAGCTGGTATCCAGAAGGTAGGTTAGATCTGTTCTTATCGCCCTGAGGGCAGAATTAGGATAAATGGGTAGAAATTGAAGAGAGGTGGGGCAGCTGAGTGGCTCAGTGGTTAGAATACCAGCCCTGAAATTAGGAGGACTGGATTTCAGATATGACCTCAGACACTTGACACTTACTAGTTCTGTGACCCTGGGCAAGTCACTTAACCTCAATTGGAGAGAGGGAGAGAGAGAGGGAGAGAGAGAGAGAGAGAGAGAGAGAGAGAGAGAGAGAGAGAGAGAGAGAGAGAAAGAGAGAGGGGGGAGGAGAGAGAGAGAGAGAGAGAGAGAGAGAGAGAGAGAGAGAGAGAGAGAGAGAGAGAGAGAGAGAAATAGAAATTGAGGAGAGGCAAAATGAGGCTAGAGGTAAGGAAAGAACTTGGAAACCATTAAAACTATCTCAAAGTGGAAGAGTGTGTACCTTCAGACATTCTTTGTATTAGAGATTTTCAAGCAATAGCTAGATGACTGGTTGTTGGATGTAGAAGGGTACATGAGGTACTTTCCAACTCAGATATTCTGTTATTTGTGTGACTCTGACTTTCTGTGGTCCAGACAATGCTATTTCCTATTGTAGAGTATGTATTTGGGTCACCACATTCCTTTCAAGGCAGGTGATTTGACAACTGGGGGGGTGGGGTGGACAGCGGCAGTACAGAAGGCATATGCTTCTCTGGTTGATAATTGACACCCTGCTTGTGCTGTAATGACAAGACTTGGAATTCTAGTTCAAAAAGTTTTTTTTAAATGACCTTAAATGTGAGTCTTGGCTAAGAGCCTGTCACTTTCTTCCATGACCTAGCTTGCCCACCGAAAAGTTAACAGCTTTATTTTCTAGGATATAGCTCATGTTGACTTTATATCTAATGAACAACAAATATCCTTGAGCTGACCTGATTGTTTTTATTTGGACTAGAATGAGAAGAACTGTCATTGAAACTGAATGATTTGTTAGTTGCCTAATAGCCTATAAGTGTTTATATTCTATTATTTCTAAACATTTTGTTTGCTAGAATAAGGACAATGGATGTCCAAGTGGCCACTGACACCTCCTCCAAGCTATGGAATGTCAGAGAGAAAATGAAGGAGAAAAGACGTGGATCTCTGAAAACTGCAAAACAGAATGCTTCTCTTGCATCTAAAATAAAAAATAAAATAATAAGTAAGTTTTACTTCATTTAAATAGTGCTATTATTCTTTGTTTTAAGGGATAGATCTGTGGGTGTGGGAGAGGCAGAGGATATATTGGGAAATGAAGGTGACATAAAAATTCAGCCAAAAACTTCAAATAGTATGGTTGATAAACCTTGACAGGTACCAGTCTTCTTCCATCATTTAAGATAGAAAGAATTCTAATATGTGAAATATTTATAAAGAAAATAATGCATTGCATTTACATAGCAGTTTTATGGTTTTCAAAATTTGACTCTCTCCAAATAAAGTGACTTTGTTTTAAAGTTTAACTACATTGGAACTGATTCATTCAGTTGAAAGGAATGGATTTTTTGATCTCTGAAGTCTGTTCCAACATTAAATCTATGATTTTAGGATCGGGTCTCCATTCCAGAGTCAACTTCGAATGCTGCCGTTGCTCAAATGTATTTTTTTTCTTTAAAATTCATCTTTTGGAATTGCCTTCAGAACCTATCAGATATTCTTACTAATATCCTGTATAGCAGCAGATCTTCATGTTTCATGGCTTCAATTACAAAAAGAAAAGTTATTTGGGACCAAGTCTGATCAATGAGGGCTGAGTAATATTGCTTCGGATTAAAAATGAGACATGCTGAATAAAATACCAAAGTTGATGGCTTTTTCCTTATATGGCCTGAAATTCTTTTAGGGGAACTCCTGAAATATCACTAGTTGGGTAGTGTATGGGGTGTTCAGGGAAGACTAGCAGCTTTGGTGTGAGGGCTTGCTGAACCCTTTCAGGGCTGCTCATCCACCTTTGGTATTCATCTATCACCCAATTCTAAACTGTGGCTCCAAGAAGCTGCAGCAGTCACACCCCAGTAAAACCATCTTGGCAGGTGGGTTAAACCAGCCGAGGGTAACTGACAGGCCTCAAACCTATCAGTGAATTAGGGAGATATCTACCCAAGCATGTGAAGACTTTCGCCAGTGCTGTTGGGTGGATGAGAGCAATTTGTTCCAATGGCTAGGAAGGTAGCTATGGAGTGCTTAGAGCTTGTTAAAGATGCCAGGGTAACCTGCTGCATCCTGGGCCGTTGCCAGTCATTCGGACTTTTATCTGGCCACTGGACTTTGATGACTGGGAGAGACAGTGAAGCTAATAACTTTGTGCAACTCTGTCTTACTCAGATCCAATTCACACAGGAGTCAAGACGTTATGTCACCGGTCCTCTTTGAAAACAAAGGCCAAACAACAACAGATAGAATGGTGATAGACCTTTCTGAAGTGTTTACTTTAAAAAATATAAGCTTAAAATTCCAGTAGGGATGCTTATAAAGTAATGCAGCCGACTTAAAACAAAATTCCTGCTTCAGACCTCTTTGAGTAAATTGGCATATTCTTTATTATGAATGCAGCCACTTTTTGGCAAAGCTAAACTAACTGTTCTTAGCAGGCATAAATACCTAAAAACCCTAAGGGTTGAATTTCTTCCAATACAAGAAGAGAGGACAGATTAGCATCGCATGATCCTCTGTTGGTTAACATGTACTTGGATCATTGGGTGAAAGGAAGTTTTAGTGCTAGGAGGATGAATAGAACTTTGAAATGGGAGTTAGGAAGTCTACTGCCACCCACCACTGTGTATGATTCTATTTCACTGTGTCTAGCTAGGTAACTAATAGGCAGCTAGATGATGCAAAGAGTGGGAGAGCTGGGTTCAGGAAGACATGGCTTCAAACCCCACCTTAGACACTTAGCTTTGTGATCTTGGGCCCATCACTTCACCTCTGTCTGTCTGTTTCCTTATTTGTATAATGGGGATAATAATAACACCTATCTCTCAGGGTTGCTGTGAGGATCAATTGAGAAAATATTTGCAAAGTGGTTTGCAAACTTTAAAACACTGTATAAATGGTGGCTATCATTATGATCATCCTAAGGAGATCAGGAAGTATATTGTTGGTTGCATTAAGCACACCTATATGCGCTTGTGAAATCTCTGAGTCGAATATCAAGTGTGTCCTTAAAGAGATGGAATTACTGTCTAGATAGCTTGCTTTATAAGGCAAACTCTAATCAGTTAGGTTAATAATTATCCTTTTAAGCCAATATTTCTGAAACTGACTGTACCCTGATTATAGAAAGCAAGGATTTCATTAAAGTGATTTGTTTTTTAAAATGCTCCCCAGTTGATTAAACAAATTAAGTCTTCTCTTGTTGATTGATCTTTGAGGCTAATAATCTCTTTAGACTATTTATAATTATTTCTTTGGGTATTCAGAGAAAGTATTTCTGATGATATTGAATAAAAAACAACTTACTTTAAATTGGTTGTGGTTTTTGTTCCTTCTTGAAATTTTATGCCTTGATTAAGCACTATCGCCAGTGAATTTAACCTTCTCTGATACTTCCATTCTCTCCTCTATAATTTCTGCTAGTCTTTATACCTAAACTAGCAAGCCATAAATTATTTAGGGCTATGTTCCTAAAGGTTGGTGGTATGAAAAAAGTTATTCAGAAAGAACAGACAAATGCTGTACTGTGAGTCCCATGGCCTTTTGTATGGACTAAGAATTTAGAATGAATGAACTCACTATTTTACTCTGTGTGTGTGTGTGTGTGTGTGTGTGTGTGTGTGTGTGTGTGTGTGTTTGTATTTGTTTGGGGGAAGGGGTTCTGGACTGTTAAAATCATCTGTGTGGGGAACACTTTGCATGGAAACATTCTCCATGTGTAGATCAGCCACTTGTTTATAACTTAGAGTCTTAAAGAATTACCTGAGACCCTGAGAGGTTCAATGATTTTCTTCCCATGGTCACAGGTACTGCGTGTCAGAGGCAAGAGTCACACCCAGACCTTCCTGCCTCTCCATCTTGCCATGCTGCTTCTCCAATATAATATAGTGATAAATAAAACAGTCTCCATCCCTTTTTTTTCATGATTCTACAGTCAAGAAACACATATTAAGCACTTACTGTGTTCTAGGCGCTATACTAAGTAAGCCCTGGGTACACAAAAAAAAGGCAAAATAGGGTCTCTTTTGCCTTTTTTTTGTACACTCAAGAAGCTAGCATTATAATGAGGGAGACAACATGCAAATAGGTAATTTTGGAGGGAAGGTACTAGTAATCAGGGAGGCTGAGAAAGGCCTTTTGGTGAAAGTGAGATTTGAGCTGATTCTTGAAGGAGTTCAGAAAGAAGGTAGAGGTAAGGGGTGTTTTGTTCAATTTTTATTGGGTCTAAATGAAAGGTATAAAGCCAATTCTGCTCACACTTCACAGAGCTCAGTGTCAATCAGACCATCCATTCTGAGTCTTGAGTTAGACTGAATGGTAAAAGGGTTCCCTAGATATAATGCTACATTTTGAAAACAGTATTTTTAAAAGGTAGATGCAGGCAACTTTCATGAATTTTAAGCCTGGACTAGAGAAGTACTTATAATTTAAAGACCATGGAATCTTTAACCAAAAAATTATTCTGGTCTTGAGCAAGAAAGAGCATTTTTCTGCTTCTGTGCCGGGGAGATAGATGTACTATTAAAAAAAAAAGTAGGCAGGCAAGAAGCTGATATGGAAGTTAAGTGGAAAAGAGACAGGGAGCTAAGAGAGAGGAATAACAATAGTGAATATGGGGGCACAAGACTGCTGTTGGGAGTTGGTCTCCTCTACCCCTTGGGAACATTCATTAACCTCCATGAAAACCATGCATTTTAGCCAGTGCTGGCAATTCTAACCTAACCTGTATCTAATGTTTCATCCATAGGAGCATAGTAGGAAAGATCTCAAAGAAGAAGAAGAAGAAGTAGAAATCCCCTTGCTAAGATATTTTGTCTTTGTGTGTGTTTGTGCCCTGGTCTGCAGACAATTCTTCTATCATTAAGGTATCTTTGCAAAAAAACAACAAAGCCTTGGCCCTTGCCCTCAATTCTGAGAAGGTGCTCAGTCAGAGGCTTATAGAAGAAAGGAAGCTTCTGATGAAAGAAATTGAGGTGGGGATGTTTAAGAATGCCAAGCTCCGAAGAACCATCTCTTACACGGTAGGAAATCAAGAGATTTTCCCCCTTATGTTTTGTTTGATTCCTGGAACTTAAGCAATTCATAATACTGGGCATCTAAATTTTCCATTTAGAAAATAATAACTAGGGAGTAGAGTAGGACTAAAGAGGGTCAGCTTCAACATCCAGAAGACCTGGGTTCAAGTCTTTATCTAATAGATAAATCAATGCTTTGGTGCCCTAGTCTTCTCTTCAAGAATACACACACACACACATGTATACACATATTCATGTGCAAATACATAGATATATATATGAATGTATATGTACATATACAACACACAACATAAAATGTGTATAAACATATGCATACATGAATGTGTAAATATATACATGTATACACAACACCTAGAACCTATCTACACGTGCATGTACAATACAATACATATATCTACATATATATATATGTGTAGACACACATGCACACATATACATATGTGTGTGTGATTTTGAGACCTGGTCTCCCTATCTGGTGTATGCTACAAATATGGCAGCCATTCACATGGCTGATCCCAGTGCCGATGGCCTGGAAGCTTTGACCTGCCCCTTTTTCAACTTGGGCCATTTCAGTCTTCCTTAGGAAGCCTAGTGACCCCTGAACTCCCCATATTGGTGCCAGACTCCCTGTGGACACCCGATGTACTTTAGCTGACTACAGCTCAGAACTCCCCAACTCAAAAAAATCCACCAGCCTCCTCCGCCTCCCAGGTAGCAGAGATTGCAAAAGTGACCAATCTCCTTGCTCCTCTCTCCCCTCCCCCCAGACTCTATAAGACTAAGTTATAAAGGGGTTACCAGTTTGTCCTAAAGACAAAGAGTTCCCTATGCTCCCAGGTCTACACCAAACTTCTGCTCCTATTCAAGCCCCTGCCTTCAGTGCCTTCATATCCATATGGCAACCTAAGGTTTAAAACCTTGATCTTGTTTATGTGGTTGGGAGCATTCATGCAGTGGGTTTATTTCTTCTTCTAGTTAAATTCACCAGAAAAATTCATATGGCAAATAAATAGAACTATTTAGAAAGATTTTTCTGGGTACAACATGTTGAGAACTATACAAAGCATGGCTGTTTCCCAGCTAGTTCACTTACTACCTACTGTGTATTAACTGTTTTGGGGATAAAGGCATGAACGTTGGCTTTGGAGTAAGAAAACCCAGAGAAAGCACAGAGCTTGTTGTAAATTTAATTAACTTACTGCAATCCTGGATCAATTTCAGAATCTCATAGAAGGATATGGTCAGCTGTAAGGACATCATCTCTTCTGGCTCTGCAGCCTGTCAGGGAAACTCCTTGTCATCTACCATATTAAGCCCCTCAGAGATGAGTCATGGCTGTAAACTGAACTGTCCAGGCTTCTAGGTGGTCTCCAGGAGTGGCACTCAGCATGCTCCATAGGGGGTTAGAGGAGAGAAGATCCCTGCTATGGAAGGATTAAGGGTCCTGGTCTGGAAGATCTGAACCTATGGCGGTTGCTATCTTGACCTGGTCCTTTGTTGGCTCAGCTTTCCTGATAAGCCGTGTAGCATCTACTGTATACTTGTAGTTCATATAAAAATTATTTTCATCGGTTGTTTTTCAGTTGGATTAATCCCTTTTTTTTCTTTTATGCAGAATAAGATTCTCCAAGAATTAGAAGCTTATATAAGTGCTAAACTCCTGTGTGCAATTAGAGAGAGTGATCCCTTTACAGTAAGTGCCTGTTATCTGAGCATCAGCCAGGGGGACTGTGCTTGGAAGTACATTACTTGTATGTAATATAATCTAGTGTATGATGCTCTGCTGTATGGGATATTAGATTGTATTGTGGGCCAGATCAAGTCCTTCCTTCTTTCTTTTCTTCCTTTCATCTTTTTCTGTCTTTATGTTCCTGGAGCATAGAAGGCATTTCATAAATGTCCAATTGTCAAAGTGCCAGAGGTAGGATTTGAACCCAGGTCTTCCTGACTTAAAGTCCAACACTCTATCTTCTATATTCAATTCTTCTGCATTCCTCTGATTCCCCAGGGAAAATATTTCTACTAAAATAGAAAGAGAAAATGAAGTTCTAGCAAAAATATTCATTTATCTAAGAAAGTTCCTATGAAAGTTCCTGAGACCTGTCTAGGAACTGATTGGTTATGAGGAGGTCTCTAATTTATAATTGATTCATGTGCACAAAGAGTTGATATTTCGTATTCTACCTTCCTTTCCCCCCCAATAGAACTCTTGATGCTGTCCTCATTTTTCCATGAGAGACACTATTTTAAATACCTGAACTCTATGGGTTCAGATGGGGAATGCAGTAGAGGAGGGGGGAGTTGAAATTCATATATATTATCTTTTCCAAATTTTACATGGGTTAGAAAGATCAATATGGTTTCTTTCAGAAACCACAAGTTTAAAAATAATTATACCATTTAGAAACCAAAACTTTAAAACAAAACATCTCTTTGTTAATATATATAATAAACGTAGAAAGCATTGCCAAAGATTATGGAATCTTGGGTAAGAAGCTAAAGACTTAAGGGGCACAGGTGATATCTTCATGACCATTGCTCACTGAAGAAAAGGAATGCAGAATAGAAAAGCATTTGGAAGGATAACATTTGGTTAAGAAGATGAGCTGGCATATTGTGTGCCATTTGGGGGAGGGGGAGAAGGGGGGGAGGAGAAAAAATTTTGGAACTCAAAATCTTATAAAAGTGAATGTTGAAAACTAAAAATAAGTATATATTGAAAAAGAAAAAGAAAAAAAGATATCAGAGAATGGGATTTGGATTTCTGGACTGCAATCTAGATTATAGATTTGGAGAGTGTAGATTTCAAATGGTTCAGAGAAAGGGAAGTGAGACCAGGAAGAATGGAAAAATCTCAAGAATGAGATTCTGAAGATGCAAAAAGAAACAATTCTGATAATGCTTGTTGCATTGAATCATTAAAGAAAGCTAATGGAATCTCAGACTGCATGAAGAGACGAATGCCCTTCAGCAATAAGAAAGTGATACATTCATTGTAGTCTGCTCTCCTCAGTCCACATTTGGAATGTGGTGTCTGTTTCTAGGGATCACACTTTGGGAAGAACTTTGCTAAGCTTGAGAGTATCTTGAGAAGAGCAACCTGGATAATCAAAAGTCTTGAGTTCCTTACATAGAGTCCATTGAAGGAGCTAGGAATGTTTAAGTTGGAGAAGAAAAGACTTGGAGGTGCTGTGAGATAGCTGTTTTCAAGTATCTGAAGGGCTCTCATGTGGACTTGATCTGTTTAGTCCCAGAAAGTAGAATAAGGAGTAATGGGTGAAAGTTACAATGAAGAAAATTAATATTCAATATAAGGAAAAACTTCCTATACTTAAAACTAGCCAAAAGTAGAATTGGTTGCCTTAGGAGGTAGTGGAGTCCCTTTTAGATGAGTTCTTCAAATAAAGCCTAGAAGAACATTTGTCAATGATCCCTATTCTGCTATGGATTGGACTGGATGTCTATTTCTTTGTAACGACTTAATGCTTCTGTGAAGACAGGCCCATTTAAATGTGATAAACACTTTATTTCATTAGCATTGACATATATTTCTTAATATTTAATCATGTTAGTAAATAAATATAGCTTCTAGCATGTCCTTATAGCTACTTCCTTCTCAGTCTTCTCCAGACCTTTCCTATACTGTGCAAACAACCCATTGTGATCAGTAGCTGGATCAGTTTGTAACTTAAATGAAAATCTTAACTCTTAGGAGAGTGTTCTGTGGATCCCCAACCTCCTTTTCTTATCGTTGTATCAGTTGGGTTTTTATTATCTTTGTTTAAGTCAGCTCCTATTCCTTTTTATAGATTTCAGAGGATACCAGTATGGAAAATTTGTTCACTGATGATAATGTAGACAAGCACAGGACCAGCTCACCACATGGGTAGGTATGAAATGTTAGATCTGTTACATCTCTTGGGATCTAATCTTTATAATCTTAGGTTAGCATCACCATTCATATTCAGTAGACTTTTCTCCATTTTTATCTACTTTGATCTCTCTGCAGCATTTTTATTCTTCTCACACTTGAAAGTCTCTCCACCCTTGGATTTTGTAACATTGTCCTGTCCTAATTCTCTTCCTACCTCATAGACCATTCCTCTTCTGTCTCCTTCTCTGGCTCTGCTTTTCTCTACTTTATACCCAAATATGTGCATAACAGAGACTCAGTCTCCAGCTTTCTATTCTATTCTGTTCTATTCTATTCTGTTCTGTTCTATTCTATTCTATCCTGTTCTATTCATTTTAAAGCTCTCCCTACGTTTGGGGTGTCTTTATAAATCTACACAGATTACTCCCAGATCTACCCATCCAGATCTGATCTCTCCCCATGGGTTCCATTTCACCTGTCTAGTTGTTTGCTGGGCATTTTCACCTATATGATCTACTGTTACCACAAATTAAACCTGCCTAAACCGTATCCTTCATCTTTTCCCTCAACCTGGCTTCCTCTGTAGACTTCCATATTTTTGTTAATGGTATCATCATTATCCCACTTATCCACATTCAAACTTTTGAGCAATCATCAGTTTCTTTTTTCCCCTTTGCTTCTGTGCCCCCTCGGTCATAGCAAGTTATTGATCCCTCCTTAATGTCTCTTGTCTAGTCCCACTATCATCACCCTGCCATTATCCCTTATCACCATGGGCATCATCTACTTCAATAGCATAACTGGTCTTCCTATTCCCACTCCCTGCTCCCTCAACCTTTTCTATGTACTGCTGTTAAACTAATTTCCCTAAAACATTTCTTTGTGCACAGAAACCTTCAATGGCTTCCTATAAGACTTAGTCTGTCACTCAAGGCTTCTACAACCTAGTCCCTACCTAACTTCTCAACCTTATCTTTTACTACTCTCCCAAACAAACCTTGTATTCCAGACAAATGGGTGGATTTGTTTTTCTTTGTGGACTTTCCTCACCCCTTCCCCCGCTAGAGTCTTTGTTGATGCCATATTTTTGCCTGCAATGTACTCCCTTCCTTGATGTTCTTTTTATACTCCAAAGCCGACCTAAAATTCTGTGTTCTTCCTCATTTCTCTAGCCCCTGAGGATCTCTCTCTCTCTTCTTAAGTTTCCTGTAACTTGTTTATATCATGCATTTAGACCTTAACATATGCTACTTTGAAGTACATAGCTCACCTTTCTACTGGGACTATGAACCCTTTAAGTGTAGAAACCATGTATTATGCTACTTTGCGACCTCACCTTACAGAAGGAAGAACCAAAGTGAAGTCCAAGAATTCAGAGCTGAGATTTGAATGGATTAGAGTTGCCAGGCACCATGCTTAGTACTGGGGATACAAAAAAAAAAAAGCAAAAGACAGATTCTGCTCTCAATTACCTTACAATCTAACGTGACCACTACACTAGCCTCCTTATTAGTCTTTCTCCTCTGTAGTCTATCCTCCATCCTTTGACACACTTCTTAACACTCACTGTTTGACATACTTACTGAATGGGTGTTGCCTCACTCAAAGTGAGAACTTGAAAAGACCTTAGCTTAAAAGGGCCACTGCATCCTGGGCCATCTCCAGTCAACATCTGGCCACTGGACCCAAATGGCTCTGCAGGAGAAAGTGATGTTGGTGACTTTGCACAGCTCTCCCTCCCTCAGATCAAATTCAATTGCAAGTCATGTCATCATCTCCCTGATGTCATGGTCCTCTTCAAGAATGAAGGACAAACCACACACAAGATGTTCAGTAAGTGTTAGGTGTGGTAGTTTTGTAACCTTCTGCAGCAGAATTTAGTTTCTTAGCTACTGATCAGGAACATTCAACTATAGATTCCTTTCTTCGACCCTATCCAAGTGGGTTTGTTCCTGGAAGGACCAGAAAGCTCTTAACTGTCACACTTGTTCATTAGGAAGGCTACTGTATAGTTTTCCATTTGGTGATTAGGGATACAAATAGAAAATGATATACATCAAGTTGTCACTTACCCTTGTCTGCTTTTCGTGGGTATGCTAGAACCAGCTCAAACCAGCTAGTGAGAGCCAGTTAAATTTTTTGCATTAGCATTTGCACCTCAGAAATGAGCAACACTACAAAGCAGGGCTTGGTTTATTGTTTTGTTGATTGCCTGAATTGAGAAAGTAATATTTTCTCTATTCCTTGCTAGTAATACAATACTTTCTTACAATACTTAAAAGTGTATTGTGGCTACATATACATATATAATGTGTATTATATGTAGAAATATAATATTTTTTCAGAGAACCAGTTGTTAAACATTTGCCAGCACACTCATATGTATGATGCAATTTAGGTCATGATTTATTAGGTGTTTTTTTAAAGTAAATAATCTTTGTTTTCTTAAGATTCAAAGCAATATAGGATAGTTTACCCTACTTAGCTTTAAAATAGTAACTTTAAAAAATCAAATGCTGAGAAGTGAAAAGGCAGTAGCTTGTGAATTCTGGATTTTGTGTTCTCTCAGTATATCTAGAATAGTCTTCTTCCTTTGCTGCTTGAATTCCAGTCAGTGACCTATTCCAAAGCTTAGTTTCTATTCAGCAATGATAGAGAAATCAAGTTAGATATTTATTTCTCTGCCCATTTCCAGGACCACTGCAGAATGGTGTTAGTCACATTTAAAATTATGATTCTGACTATCTGGAAAAAAAATCTCTTTTTCTTATTTCAGGTCAACCAAGTTATCAATGAAGGATCCAACTACTGATGTGGAAAATGGGAAACAGCCGAGTGTTGTCCTCAAAGATCTCTTCTTTCAACAGACAAGCCCCCAGACATATCATGTGGGGTTGGAGCAACCTTCAAATTCTGATGGAGGTTGAGTGAATTGAAAAAAAACAACAAAGCATCTTTGTTGAACTCCAATTTATTATTTATTTCCCTTGTTCTTTTACTTCTCTTTCCTTAACACGCTTACAATAATCTAGGGTATAATATACATATGTCCAAAATATATAAGAAAAGGCAATCATTATTAACAAGATTGTATAAATATCCCTTATAGCTCTAAACTTATGACCCTATGACCCTATTTCCAAAAATTGTAAATATACCATATGTATTTGACACATGGAACAGAGTCTAGAATAAAATGGCCTATCTGAGCAATGGGTTCTTGGGAGACCTCTGTTTGAGCTGGATAAGGAAAGGACAGCTAACACTAATCAATGGGTTGAAGAGAACCCAGTCTCCACAGTCCCAATGGCCAGTTCAACTCTAGACTAGCACCAGCACAAAAAGGGTATAATTCAGTCTGTTTGTAGTAAAGCTGAATCATTCCTATTGATAAAATAATGGTTGTGGAACAAAAAGCAGGATCAGTCATGGAGTCAGGAAGTTGTATAAGATCATATTTTAGGCTAGAAGTATCCTCAGGCTATCACATCCAACTCCTTCATTATACAAATGAGGAAACCAAAATCTAGAATGGGAAGGAAACTCGACAATGTCTAGGCCAGTCCTCTCATTTTACAAATTAGAATACTGAGGCCTAAAGAGGTTAAGTGATTTGCTCAAGGTTATGAAGGTAATAAGGGCAGCTAAATGGTACAGGGGATAGAACACTGGCCCTGGAGTCAGGAAGACCTGAGTTCAAATACAACCTCAGACACTTGCTAGCTGTGTGACTCTGGGCAAGTCACTTAATTCTACCTTGGTTTCCTCATCTGTAAAATGAGCTGGAGAAGGAAATGGCAAACCACTTTGCCAAGAAAACCTTAAATGGAGTCACAAAGAGTCAGACACAACTGAAAAATGACCAAACAAAAAAATGCAGATAATAAGAGGCAGAGAGGCAGGATTTCGATCCAGGCCTCTGACTCTTGAGCTAGAACTATGAGGTACAGGCAAGTTGTTGTAGTCACAGAAGGTACGTCAACAATGGGAATTCCCTATACTTATGACATCAAAGATCCAGCCCCTGCTTCCCCCAAAGTAAAATACATTTATGTTCAGTGTATTAAAGGCTTTTCCTCTGTGAGAAAGAAGATGCATTACTCTTCTGTCAGTTAAGTTTACTTCTTTAAATGAAATGTGTTTTGTTTTTCTTTTTATAGAAAGTAAGCAAGTGAATGCCATAAGTATCTTGGAATCTGAAGTGGCTGATGCTTTAGCTGAGAGCAAGGATGGCAAGACTGGGAAGCCATGCTATGAAAACAAGTCACCACTTGGAGCAAATGTCACACAGAGGAAGAAACGGGCCTCTTCCCTTTACCTAAAATGTCAGACTATAGCTGTGGACTTTGAGACAGACATATGCTCAAATCGTTTTTCCCGGTGGGCCACTGGCCCTAGAAGTCCTGTGAGACAAACGAATGGACGAGAAGCTTCCACCTTCTCATGGCTCTTTGATCCCCACTGTGATTCCAACAGCAATACCTCTCTACTGGAGGATGCAATGCTTTCTGGGCAGCTACCAGGGGAAATAGTGGGTAGTAAGAATAGGTCTTTGAGTACTAATGGGCAGGACAGATCAGTCACAACTTTGACAGAGGACCAAAACAAAATCACCAGTAGTGCTGACAAAGATGTTGCCTCACCTTTGAGATTCGAGAATTGTGTTTTTACAGAACAGGAGGTCCAAGACACAGCTGGAATATATCCTATTGAGAATTCAGACAACAATAGGAAAAAACAGTCCCAGAGCCTTAGAACACTGAGCCCAGTGGCCCAGACATCAAGTAAATTAGCACTGATATCATCTGTGTTCCCAATGGAGATGGACTCTTTGGGAGAAAACCCAACCCCCACAAGCAGCAGGCCTCCTGAGGACCAGCTTTACCAAGTAAGTGACAGAATTAGAAAATGTAGGCAAACCTATTCAAGGAGTGAGGTGTGTTCAGATAGCCAAGAAAAGATAGCATTACCTCCCTCTGAAAAGAGAAGGAAAACGTTTTCAGAAAAACAGATCGAGGTGGAGAACCAGAGCCCAAATTGTGATCCAACTTGTGGGAGGTCTGGGGTGAAACGATCATCTCAGAAGAATAAGGTCACTGATAAGCAGATGTTCTCAAATGAGATAAATAAGGAAATAAAACAGATAAGAAACAGGATGTCTACTGATTTACTCAACACTCCTAGCAAAGTAAATGACTACAGAGAAAAAAACAGAAAAGAGTCAGAAAAGGTGGTGATAAATATGGACCAGCAGATCCCAAATACAATCAGTCAGGCTCCCCAGTGTTTACCTTGTGTGAGAACACTCAGTGTGGAAATTCCGCAGAAAATGACTGACAAGCCTTTGAAACAGGAAGTAAGCAGGAGGACCCATGGCACTAAAGCCAGTGACTGCAGAAAGGAAAACATGATTCCACTGGAATGCAACTTGAAGCATGACTCTCAAGAACATATACTTAGGCACGAAACTAAAGGAAGACAAGTAAAACAGAATAAAAACCAACCGAGGAAGGCATGCTCACAGAAGAGTAAAATGGAAACTTCTAACTCAGACAATAAACAAAGCAGTGTAAAGGATTCACCGAGCAGAAAGAAGCAAGCTCTGAAAAGTCATGTAGGTAACTCTAGAATTCCTATACTGGCTTCGTGTTCTATGGAACCAGGCCTAAATAACATACGCCATGCTTCTGTTAAGAGTATGGAGGACATCCAAAATAATGTGAATAAGAAACAGACACCATCAACTGTACAGATCAATGCAACTAGGAATGTGTTGCGGTCAATGACTAAAGCAAAGCAAAAGGTTGAAAATGTTCTTTCAGCCAAAGACCAATCTGATTTTGGAAAAAAAGTTGTTTCTGGGACTGTTTCAGGAGAACACGAATCCACAGAAGTTGGCCAAGTGATGCAGGATGAAGGAAGTGATAGCCTTTCTAAAGCAGAGAGAAACTTCTCCCAGAGAGTCACCAAAAAATTGGTCCTGAATAGTTCTGGGTCTTTGGAACCCTCCTATGTGATCTCGTCCCCAGAGCAACCTGTAAGGACTTCTGCTGTAGCAGCCTTCCAACTTCTGGAACCCCATGTGGTAAATGGTAGAGTTTTAACAGCCCTTCTGCTGAGCCAGAGAGTTGCCAAATCACCAAAGGAAGGAACTCCCCTACTGGCCAAAAAGATAGCTGGAGTGTGGCAGTTCTTCCTGGAGGCTCTTTGAGTGAAAATACTCCAAAGAAAGGTAAGAAATGAGGCTGGGTGGCCTTGAACAAATCTTTTTGCCACCCTGTAGCCTCACTGACAATCTTTTTCTCACAAAATAACCCAACAGCTCAAAGCATCACATTTGAAGGCTTACCAGTTGGGTTGCAGCCAGAGTTTTGCCCTGATACACCATCCATTCACTTAGCAAACCCCCTTGTCCTCTGGCATCTGGACTTGCTACTCTGAACTTGGCTTTCCCAAGGACCTACACTCAGTCTTTAAAATCTTTCACTTTGTAGCAGCATTGTTGACCACCCTCTCTTTTTGGATATTCTCTTCTCTCAATATTCATGAGAATTCCACCTCTTGGTTCTCCTCTTACCTATCTAATTGCTCTTTTCTATCATTGGTTCTTCATCTTCCTGCCTTTTAAGAATAGATTTCATCTTAGGCTTTCTCTACTTTTCTCTATGAGGAAGATACTGAAAATGAAGGCTTATGACGGGTTAAACTCCTCAAAGAGATGAGACTGGGTTCAAGGACATGAGTAGAAGAGTTAGCTATGGCAGAGAGATGACCCCCTTTCCTTTTGATATGGGCACAAAGGGGGAGAGGAGACAGGTAATGAAATTTTGGAGTGTGGAGTAGGAAAACTGAAAAATAGCACAAGGCAATTGATGGATGTACAGGGTTAGGAGCTCCAAGTAGCCTTTACTCATGGATGAGTGTCCTCCTGAACCTCAACGCTACTCAGTGTCCTCTATCCTTTTTATCCCCCTTCCATTCGTTGGGTTTTTATTATCTTTACTCAAGTTAGTTCTTGTTTTTATTTCTGCATTATACTTAGCATAGTCTCTTGTTCTCCATGAATATCTGTTGAAATGAATGACCCAATCCAAGTGGATCTTTGACTCCCTAGAACTCCTCGGTCCTGTTTTATCCATACCACACAATTTAGTAATTTACTGAATACGATCCATTTTTTAAAAGTTGTGTGTATATATTTCATCTTATATTCATATATGTGTATGTTGAATTTCCCCTACAAGGTTTCTAGCTCCATCAGTACAGGGAATATGTCTTAAATTTTTGGTATCTGCTATGGTAACTGGCAGAATGCCTCAACAAATGTGCATACAATGGGCGATCAACAAACTGCTTGGTTTCACTGAGTTACAATACTTTTCCTTAGTAGAGTTCATAATTAACAAATTAGTTTTCATTGGTTTTTGAAACATTAGTTAGTGACTCATAGATTATATGTATTCTTTGTGTGCACCCAGAAAACCAAGAGTCATACAACATGGAAAACACCAGATTTTCTTCATCAAAATTCCTGAGAGATTCCACAGTAAGACGTTCAGTGAGAAAGAAAGAAAATCTTGTTAGCTATCAAGAGCCTCGACTCAATTGGTAAGTATTATTTTTGTCATTATTTCCTCCCCATTTTGCTGTTTGTCTTATGATGCCTGAACTTTTGTTAGACATCCTTATTTTGGAAGTGTTCAGCACTGTCACTTGCCTTCGAATATAACAACTTTTTCTACTGAGGATCCCTTTTTAATCTGTCCATATTTTCCAAATCCTGTTGAGATGTTGCTTTCTCAGAAATAACTGTATCTTTTTTCTGCTATTCTATTGCATGGTTATTCACTCTGGGATTGGCTTCTTCCCGCCACACGGTTGCCTAATGTCAGATTTTTCACTGCAGATCAAGACTCTGTACATAAACCAAGTCCCCATGATGAGGATTCTCTTGCCTTCTAATAAGTAAATGCAAGGGCAGCTAGGTGGCACAGTGGATAGACCACCAGCCCTAGAGTGAAGAGGACCTGACTTCAAATCTGGCCTCACTTACTAGCTGTGTGACTCTGGGCAAGTCACTTAATCATCATTGCCTCCAACAAAAAAAAAATTAAATGAAGCTAGTTATTTTCTTAGCAAGGCAGTCTATTACAGATGAGAGTGGTGGACTACTTTTCAATGTGTCTGAATAATTTCCCATTATAGCATTTCATAAGGAGCAACATAGAATGTGGATAGAGAACTGGCTTTTGAATTGGGACCATCTGATGTCAAATCATGCCTTGGCCACAGACTAGCTGTGTTTGTGCTGGAGCCAGCTCAATCTTGAGAGTCCACTATTAAATTTTTAGTGGGAACATTTTCATCTGGGAAATGGGTCAACACTACAAATCAGAGCTTGATGCACATTGCTTGGTGATTGTTTAGATTTAAGAAAGTGATGGAGAAAATGTTAATTACTCAGATTAAATTTTTTTTTTGGAGAGGAAAGTTGGTTATGAAAACATTTAACAGCATTCCCGTGTGTGGTTCTAATGTCTTTTAACCTCTTAATACTCTAGGCAACTCTCTTAAGATTTTAAATTGAAGAATAGTTGTGATTTGTATTGAGAGAGGGATTTTTCTCACTGGGTACTACCTATACATCATTGAAATCATAGATCCAGTCCAAGATATTTCATAGTATTTTAGGATTGAGATCCAGAAGAAGCCTTAGAAATCATCTAATCTAGCCCTAATACTTCTCAAACAAGGTAACTGAGGCCCAGAAAGGAGTCACATAGCTAATAAGTAGCAGATACAGGATTTGAACCCAGATCTAGTATTCTTTCTAACGTACCATGCTACCAAAAAAGGTTGCCACATCTGCAAATTGCCTGAACCTCAACAAATAATTTTCAGGTGAGTTTTTAGGGTTAGGTTGAAATCTGAGGTAGGTCTCTTTAAATAAATGAATGATTAAATAAATGCCAATAGGAACACAGAATGTGCTATAACCATTCAGAAATGAACCCTTTTTCCACACAAAATCCTACTGGATAAGGACTTTCTAAAAGACATTTACAACTTTCTGCACTAAAATAACTTTCTGTTGGGCAAAGAAGAAGAAAAATGATGCTCTTTTTCCTGTTCTACAGCAAATTGAGGCGTGGAGACCCATTCACAGATGCACTGTTTCTTCATTCTTCAATAAGCAGAAGAAAGGGAATAATGAAAAGCAGTAAAAGACACCAAATAGAGGAAGAGATATGAGTGTCACAAAATTTAGAGTTTAAAAGGTTTTAATTTATTTAAAACATTATTTTCACACATAACAGATTTTGAGCCAGTGGTATTTTAATGGTTTGATAGAACCCCATGGCTTATTTCTTCATTTTGCACTTTTAAAAATATATTAAAACTAAAGTTTAAAATAAAGACAAATCTTTGAATTCTCCATTTTATATGAAAGGGTTTAATTTGTTTTTTGTTCTAGATATGAATGAATAAGGGCGTCACACATATGTAAACATATAGATTTAGAGAACAGAGTCTAAAAATAGTTCTATTAGGGAAAACTTACATTTTATTGCCATCCATAGATTTAACCAAACTAAACTTGCTCACCAAATTTTAAAAATCATCCATAACATTTTTTAAAAGTTTATATAAAATTTCCCAACAATCCCCAAATCGTGAAAGTCACATTTATTCTAAAGGTAGAACAACCTCCAACGCCATAAGCATTCCAATGGAATGTGAATCCTTTGAAGATAGGGACTCTCATTTATTTATATTTATATCCCTAAGCACCTAGGATTGTGCCTAGAACACAGTAGGTGCTTAATAAATGCTTGTTGATTTATTGGGATCTTGCACAGACATCTTTTTACCTGTCCCTGATACCAGTAGGAATATCTCATTCTCCAGTCAACTGAAGCATACTTTTGAAGATGGTACCCTGAAAGTCTGATTTTCCATCTTCTGTGTTTCTGGCCAGGTCAACTATTTTGATGTCTTTATCAGTGGATATTTGCACAGTAGTTTTTTTGTTTTTTAAGGCTGAAAGAATAATAAAAAAGGATATAATCTATGAATTTATAAGTTGTTGAATAAATGAATGAGTGAATGGTAAAACATTTATTAAGCTCTTATTATGGGCAAAGCACTGTACTAAACTCTAGGGCTACAAATACAAAAGCAGAGTTTCTGCCCTCCAGGAGTTTATATTTTAAGAGAGAGAGACATGCATATAGGGGAGAGGTAGACAAGGAAGGAATGATGCTGTTTCTGAAAGTTACTGAGATGGCTTGTAGGGGCTACTGGGAACTACATTGACATACCCCATCCAGGTACGTTGGTACAGTGGATTTGATCATGTTTCATGATTCCAGAATGTGGGGGTAATGGGTGTGATTTGTGAAGGGCCAAGGTGGCAAAATGGTCAGTGATGTTAGAGGATATAGCCAGAGAATAGGAGGATGAAGTGAAGCATGACTGGGGCTTTCAATACATAGGATAGATAGATAAAGATAATTAGTATTTACTATATGCCAGGCACTCTGCTAATTGCTGAGGATATAAATGCAAGCTGTCCCCCGAGAAGCATATAGTATAACGAAGACAACATATAAAGGGAAGCTAGAAAGGGAGTTAGAGGAGTGCATATGGTAGCATAGTTTGGGGCGGGTGGCTGGGAAATCGGGTGAAAACCGGGTTTCCAGCAAGAGAAGGTAAAAGCTCAATCTATCAGAGCCTAAGGTGGTTCCAGACAGTGGTCCAGGAGAGGCAGTCACTAATCTAGACAGCAATACAAAATAGATAATAAGTGATTTAAGGACCACTGTTGTTTAGCAGACCTCGGGATAAACTCCCATATCAACAAGGTTTTTGAATATTGCTTTATCTGTTTCTGTCCAAGGATGGACAGCGGGTATGGTGTAGTGGAAAGAACACTAAATCAACAGGAGACTCAGGATCTAATCTCAGCTCAGATACCAACTAGTCATATCTTCAGAGACATCAGCTGTTTATTTCTGTTTCTTTAGCTATAAAATTAGGGATAATAGCTGCCCTATCTACTACCACAGGCTCTTGTGGGGATCAAATATGAATATAAATATGAAAGTCACTTTGAAAAGTATAAAGCATAGGGACAGCTAGGTGGCACAGTGGATAGAGCTCTGGCCTTGGAGTCAGGAGGACCTGAGTTCAAATCCAGCCTTAGACACTTGACACTAGCATGACCCTGGGCAAGTCACAACCCCAATTGCCTCACCAAAAAAGCAAAAAAAAAAAAGTATAAAGCATAATTCCATTTGGGGTGGTGCTGGTAATAGTGGTGGAAGGGATACCATAACAAAATTCGGACAGCCAGGTGACGTAGTGAATAGAGGGCCTAGTCTAGAATCAAGAAGACTCATCTTCCTGAGTTCAAATCCAGCCCCAGACCCTTACTAGCTGTGTCACCCTGGGCAATTCACTTAACCCTGTTTGCCTCAGTTTCCTCACCTGTAAAATGAGCTGGAGAAGGAAATGGCAAACTACTCCAGTATCTTGGTCAAGAAAACCCCAAATGGGTTCATAAAGAGTCGGATGTGACAATAACAACCAAGTATAGTTTTATGAAAGGAGTAAGTTCAAGTGAGATAAAAGTATGGGAAAAATACATTAAAAATCACGTTGGAAGTAACAAGACAATTTAACACTGATGAAAACTTTGTCAAAATTTTAGGTGATGTTATCACGTAACTGGAACTGAAGTTTATCCAGTGCTTAGCTCGGGGCCTGACACATAATAGGTGCTAGATAAATGTTGATCAATCCCTTTTAAGGACTTTTTTTTAAGTTCCTTTTTTATGGCAATAAATATAAATTATACATCTTCCTGATTTCTTGAAAAAAGCATGACTTTTTAAAGGAAAGCTGGATGGGATTCATAGGGATCATCTATTTTGAGATAAGGAACTTGAGGCTAGAGAAATGAGACTTGGCCCACAGTTTAACAGGTAATAAGATGCAGAGCCAGAGTCAGGCCCAGGTTCTCTGACTCTCAACATCTTTCCACTGCACTCTACTATGTCTAACATAACATTACCTTTTTGGGTGACTCAGGATCATCTCCAAGAATATCTGTTATACTGTGCTTTATATAACACACTGATGACATCAGAGATTATTAGAATATATAGGTTTACTTGCTTCAGTTAATGGTTCTGTGGCTACACGTCAGCATATATATTCATGTCTCCTTCTAAGCTGAATTTCACATAGGGTTTTAAATCCCCCTTTAATCTCATTACTTTTACTACAAGTAAAATGCTTGAGCTTCCAAGTCCATACAAATTTTATATACATTTTTCTGAACAAAAAAGGCAGATTTAGTCTTGATGTAGGGCCAAACGTGTTGACGAGGAGAGCCATCCCAAAACAGAATGGGTTGCTTTGGGAGGTTCAGGGTTCCTATTTATAGGAGACCTTCAAAGAGTGTCAGGAATATTATCTGTTAGGAAGGAAGTGAGAGTGAATTCTGTGTAGGCAGTGGTTGGATTAGATTGCCTTTAAGAGTCCTTCCTACTCAGGCTCTACAAAATCAGGTGGTGGAGCTAAATGATGGCTAAGACTCCTCCTACCTCTAACATTCTGGGACCCACAACCCCAAATCACCAAAGACAGTAATGGCATGGCTCCTATGTTGACAAAAGAAGTCTCTTTAGGATGAGATATCAGTGAGACCCCAATCTGTAAATTTTCTGACTGTTTCCTGTTTATTAGAGAGTCCCAATCACAGGGTTTTTAATAGTTTAAGTGTGCCTATTTGTATAAATAATTCAGGCTGTAAGTTTGGAGATAATATACACATATCTTTGAACCTAATCTAATACTAGATTGTCATTTTGGTCTCATCCCATTCCTCTCTTCTCTTGGCTATGAAATGGGCCCAGACTATGGAGGACCCAGGATTCGTATGCTTCCTCCCTCTCAATTCAGTATAGAACTGGCTGTGGGGCAAAAGATTAGGGAAAACAACTTTACTGGGGTATTCTCAACATGTTGACTTCTATGATGTCAAACACAGTTTTCAGTAGTTTTATTCCTGGAACCCTTAAGACTCAGAATAACAACGCCACAGTTACTAGGACTTAAATTTTATTTCAAAATTACATTACAGTTCTGACAAAGACCAAGGTGAAATTAGTGTTTAACAATAATTCTAAAACATCCATAGTTACACAAAAGAAATAAACAGGCCTGTGGGGGTCCAAAAAAGCAGCTTGTTTTATTGTACCTGGGTGACATATGTCATTTTTTGGTAGCATAATATTTATTGCACCACATAAGAAAGGAGGGCAATCTGCAAGTCACCATTGTTCTAAAATCCTAACTCATGTTGGCCCTTTTTCAAAAAAATAAAGAATTACATCTTTAAACATTCAACAAAAGCTCTTTAAAGAAGCTTCTTAACATGCCTACCATGGTTATGCTTTCAGTCCTGACTCATATAGAAATTCACTTCGTCAACATGATGCAACATATGCTAATACCAGAGCCATCCAGTGACCTGGTCCACAAACAGGCCAGGAAAGGAGGAACACTGGGTCTTATTTATAACTGATTTTACAACACAGTACCATGGCTGCCACGTTTCTCCTTTCGTATGAAATACTCCTGATTTTGGTCATCTACTTCTGGGGACAAGGAAAATGACAGTGAGGATGATAACAACAACAAAAAAATCAGTAAGAAAGTAATTCCTTGGTTGCTATATAAAAAGGTCTCCTGACACATTAAATGTGGCGGGCAAACTGGAAGGAACCACAGGAGCCATATAGAAAAGTCTGTAAACTCATAGAAAAGATAACTTCTTGTCTAGAGACATGATGAAATTGATTTCATTTAAAACTTGAGTGTCACACAGAAAATCTGTAAACCAAAGAAACTAGTTACCCTGTGGGGCAGCCTCTTTTTTTGAGCAGAGATGCGGTATTAAAGTTTAGCCTGAGCTAGCTTGGCCTTCAAGTTTTCTCCAAGTTTGTCCATAAACTCAAATGTATTCAGGTAGTCAGATGGCTTCACACTAGAGGAAGAAAAAACAAAACTATTCAATGAGACTTACTTATAGAGTGGTAACATCCTACAACTGAAGAAGCAGGAAAATTATCCCTGGGAACAAAGCCACTGGAAAACACCTCCAATTTATCCTTCACGTATCTTGCCTGTACATCCTTGTATTCATGTTGCTT